CTAAAGGAGTAGGGGAATTGGGAGGGGTAGGGGAAAGGAAAGAAGGGAAAAGAAAAAATATGAGAAAAGGAAAAACATGGAAACAAAGTCTTTGTGAATAGGGAAGGGAGAGCAGGGAAATAGGGAAAAAAGTAACCAAGATATGTCATGTAAAGGTACAATATCCCAATGATGAATGTAACTATATTTTATAACTAAAATGTACCAATAAACTTAATGAAAAAAAATCATATGGATGCTGCACAGTGATGATGGGAAAGAAAGGACAGTGTGGAAGAGTAACCAGTACCCCCATATACAATTACCAAAATTATGTGTGTGATATCTCTATGTGACATGACTAAGATAGATCTCTTACTCCCATCTGCCCCACTAAATCTGATTTTCCCTTCAATATTCTCTTATCAAGAAATGATATCAAGCTCCCCTACCACCATCCCAAGCTCCGAGGGCAGAGAAGGTGAGCTGTTCCCAGAACCCAGAAGGAAGCTCCCCCACTGCCATCCCAAGCGCCTAGGGCAGAGAAGGTGAGCCGCGCGGGTGCCAGAAGCACCCCCCCCCCCCCCCCCCGCCACCGATTTACTTCTGGAGAAGTGGCACACCTCTAGAGTGCTAATTAAGTGACAAGTTTGCCACCTCAATTTTAAAATCAGAAAATGATTGGAGAGGGGGATGAATTTTCTTTGTAGTTGGAAAGGATTTAGGGAATAGCATATTAACAAAGATACATTATTGAAGTTTCAATATTTACAAATCCCCAAGAAGCTTTTAGGGATTTAGGGATTTAATCTTTGACTTTTAAAACCAGTTTTCCATTGTCAGTCAAATACAAATGAGCATTTAAAAACTACAAGGAATAGTGAGACAAGCACTTATATGCTGCTAGTGGATGTTCAGATAGCTTTCTAGATGAACACTTTGTAGTCTCTTAGTTGATCTTTGTGTTTCTCTACCCTTGCCCCTAGATAGTCTTTTTTCAACACAGCCCTCAGAGTGACCCTTTTCAAACATAAGTCAGATGGTGGTATTCTTCTGCTCAAACACTGTGATGCCTTCTCATTTCACTCAGAATAAAAGTCTTAAGTCCTGACAGTGGCCTTGTATGGCCCTACATGAACTGAACAACCTTTATCTTTCTGGCTTCCTCTACTACTGTACCCTTCATTTGTTCCACTCCACCACCCTAGCCTCTTTGCAGTTCTTCTGACATGTCCCCTGTGCTTTCAATTTAGAGCCTTTGTACTATTTTCTTTGCCTGAAGTGCCCTTCCTTCAGCTGTTTGTTTAACCTTATTTCCTTCACACCCTTGCAGAAATCTTAACCTTTTCAGTGTCTCTTGCCCTGATTATTCTTTGCAATATTACAATACTTTCAACCTCAATACAGACAGTTCTGATGTCCTTTAACCTGCCCTTTTTTATGGTAAAGTATTTTGTTTATATTCACTATTTATTCATTCTCCTTCCTTTTTAAGCTTCACGAAGGTAGGGTTATTTCTTCTGTTCACTGATAAAAATCTTTAAACCAGTGTCTGTCACAGAGTAGATGGTCAATATTTTGAATGGATGAACTTTTAAAATATCTCCTTTTGGGCCGGGGATTTAGCTCAGTGGTTCTGCCACCTGCCTCGCAAGTGCAAGGTCCTGAGTTCGATCCCCAGTACCAAAAAAAAAATCCCCTTTTGTTTTTTGAGACAAGGTCTTGCTATGTAGTTTAGGTCAGCCTTGAACTAGCTATGTAGTCCAGGCTGACCTTGAACTTGAAATCTTCCTGCCTTAGCCTACTGAATGCTAGAATTATAGGTATCCATCACCACATCCAGCTACAACTAATTTTTAAAGAAATACAGTTGCAGCCAGAGGTGTATTTAGGTGGTTTTAGGTTCTTAGCTATAATAAAAATGAAAAATTTCAAACAAACTGAACATCTAAAAATAGGGATAATGTTTAAATGATTTGATGTACTACATAATGGAGTATCATAAAGATACTACAAATGATGTTTTTGAAGAACATATAATATATGAGAAAATATTTATGATGTTTAAGTGAAAAAGTAGCATATAAAACTTTTATACCTCTACCTCGCACCATGTACAAATATTAACTCAAAGTGGATCAGTGGCGCAATGTGATGATACACCTGTAATTCTACCTACTTGGGCAGCTGAGGCAGGAGAATCACAAGTTCAAGACCAACCTTGGAATTATGAGAGCCTGCCTCAAAATTTAAAAAGGGCTTGAGTGTGATTCAGTGGTAGAGCACTTGCTTAGCATTCACAAGTCCCTTCAGTTCCCAATACCACCCCTCCAAAAATATTTTTTTCAATGATTTAGTATATATGCTGCCGAAGCGAGCATGTTTTTCAATGATTTAAATATGAGTACAAACCATAAAACTCTTAGAAGAAAACACAACCTTCAGTTTGACAGTAGATTTTTAGATTTGACACTAAAAATACAAGCAACAAAAGAAAAAAAAAGATAAGTTGGACTTAAAGTTTTAAAAATTTGTATCAAAGGCATTATTGGGAAAGTGAAATGACAACCAGTGGAATGGAGGAAATATATCTGATCCTATGTCTGACAATGGCTCCATATTCAGGACATACAAAGAATTCCTGCAACATAACAGGAAAAAGAAAACCCAGTTTTTTTTTAAATGGACAAGTGATTTGAATAGACAGTTCTCCAAAGAAGATACACAACTATCCAAGCAGCACATAAAAAGATGCTCAACATCTTTTGAGCATTGGTCATTAGAGAAGTGTAAATCAAAACAGTAATGAGGGCTGGGGATTTAGCTCAGTGGTTCCGCGTGCAAGGTCCCGAGTTTGATCCCCCGTACCCAATAAAAAAAAGAAGAAAAGAAACAGTAATGATAAACCACATCGCACCAACTATGGTTTGGTATCTTGTTTTGTTTTGTTTTGGTGGTACTAGGGATTGAACCAAAGGCCTCTGCACTGAGTTACATCCCCAGTCCTCTTTTATTTTGAGACAGGGTTTCACTAAGTCACTAAATTGCCAAGACTGGGTTCAAATTCAGGATTCCTCCTGCCTCAGCTCCCAGAATACTGGATTTACAGGCATGTGCCACCATGCCCACCTGAAAGCTATAATTTTAAAAAAAAGGAAAGCAAGTTTTAGTGAAGACATGGAGAAATTTGAATCCTCATATATAATGGTGTAGTCATTGTGAAAAAGTTTGGTGGTTCCCTCAGAACCTAAGTCTGTGCCAAGTATGGTCATTCATACCTGTAATCCCATGTACTTGGGAGGATTATGAGTTCAAGGCCAGGCTGGGCAACAAAGTGAGAGATTCCAGAAGAATTGAAAACAAAAGACTCAGATATTTGTATACCATTGTTCACAGTAATCAAAAGGTAGAAACACCAGGTGTCCCCCAACAGATGAGTAGATAAGCGAGATTAAGTATATATGTAAAATGGAATATAATTCGGCCATAAAAGGAAATAAGTTCTGATGTATTTTATAACATGATTGAACCTTAGAAACAGTGCTGAGTGAAAGACTCCAGACACAAAAGGACAAGTAGACTATGATTCACTTTTACCAAATACCTAAAGTAGGCAAAATAGTAGAAACTGAAAGTAGATTAGAGATTACAGAGTGGGGATTAGAAGGTGGAAAGTTATTGATTACAGAGTTTCTGTTTGGATGATGAAAAAGTTGGAGAAACAGATGGTAATGATAGCTGCACAATATTATGAATGTAATCGGTCCTACTTAGTGGTACACTTAAATGGTTAAAATGGAAAATTTGATATTATTATACTACAACAGAAAATTGGTATGGGGGGGGCACCGGGGATCGAACTCGGGTCCTTGCGCTTACGGGGCAGGCAGCAGAACCACTGAGCTAAACCCCTAGCCCAGAAAATTGGTATTTTAGAAAATTATTTTTTTAAGACCTATATATACTATACTATGGTGAACTGGAATTGGCTTGTACATGCTCTTGGGAGCTGTCTCAGAGCATCTCTTCCCAACTACTCATTCATTGATGTTGGTGCGTATCTATAATCCCAGCACTCAGGAGGCTGAGGTAAGAAGATTGGGAGTTCGAGGCTAACCTGGACTACATAGCAAGACCCTGTTTCAAAAAGCAAAAACAAAAAAAGTGTACAAGCTAGTGAACCTGGAAAAATAGATGCCAAACTGTTAATGTGGTTACCTCTGAGAGAGAGTAGTATTGTAGCAGGAAAATGAAAATAAACAAGAGTTTCTACCATATGCACTTCTGTGTTTTTTCCTTTTTTGTTTGTTTTATCAGTGAGAGTATAGAAATACTTCATGTGTTGTAAATGCACCAGAAAATTTGCATATATTAGGGTTGTGGTATGGGTTACTTTTTTCTTGAGAGTCTGAAACTGGTCACATATACAATGTGAAATAGTCCATGAAGAAACTGAAAGCCAAGCCTGGGATTTGTATTATGTTTGCTCAGAAATCTAATTTTTGCTTGTTTTGTTTTGTTTTTTGTTTTTGTGTAAGGCTTTTCTTATCTCTTTATAGGTTACCCCACAGCCTACCCGGCAGCAGCCCCTGCATACAATCCTAGCCTGTACCCAACCAATAACCCCAGTTATGCTCCAGGTAAGCAGAGTGTGGGAAACTGTGGTGGATGGTGGGGGAGGTAGAACTCTATTTGGAAAACCAAACCCACCTGCTGGCCTTTTCCTGTCCTTAATTGCTCTGGGCTCAACCTGTCCAGGCTTGATATTCCTAGGAATCCCCTCTGGGTACTAAGGCAGATCAGCCTCAGGGTGGGGGTGGGAGTAGAATCTTGGTTCTCCTTGGGATTTAAGGTTGGCTAGTCTCCCCTATTCTGGAATATATGAGACATGCATCCTCCTCACAGAACCTTTTATGCTTTTCCTAGCAGTGTTGAAATCCATTCTTTGCTCAGTTTCCCCTTAGGCTGCCAGTGGGAAACATGTAAACACATACACAGCAGACTCCTGGGTTATAAATTTGGAAGAGAGTGAGAGACTTGCCACTATGGACTAAAGAGCTGCTTTCAAGCTGAGACAAGCTACATATTTTTCAAAAATAATGAAAGCCCATTATTTCTGGGATAGAAGTTGAAGTGGATTTGAGAATACTGGAAATGCTTGTTCTATTTTGGGCCAGGAGCATTGCAGAGGTCTTAAGCAGATCCTAAGCTCTCTGCTCAGCAAGTACTTTCACACTCGAGAGCAGGAAAAGTGTGGGCTCTGCTATAAGAAAGTCCTGCATTTGAATCCTGATTACCCAGCTCACTGGTTGTAAAGCCTTGAGCAGGTCACCTCCCCCGAGTTTCAAATGCAGTGTAACTACCTACTTCAGGGTTGTAGGTGGTTTTATGTAAGCCCCTCTTCATTTACTCAACAAGTATGTACGTACTTATTTGTTGAATGTCCTCCATACTGGGATAGAAAGATTAACAGATGCCATCTTGGCCTGAAGTAGTTCACAGTCCACTTTGGAGCCTAGAATACAAACAAATTCATTGCAATGTAATATAAGTATAAGAATACATGTTAGAAGAGAGGAGGGACCCACGATCTGCCTGGGGATGAAAGTACTATTTAGGGGAACCTTCTCAGGGGATTTTGCAAAAGCAACTTGAGGAAGAAGGAAGAGGTGTTTTATTAAGCACAAAAGGAGTGGGCATTCTGGGCAGAGCAGAGCATGGCAAAGGCATGGAGATATGAGAAATGTTAGGAACCTAGAAGTAGTAGCTGTGAGGGGGCCTAGATGAATCTGAACTACAAATATGCAAGGGTCAGATTTGAAAGGCCTTCAGTGTCCTAACATATCCCATTTTCTTGCTTTTATAGTTATTCTTATAAAACTAGAAAGTTTGAAAAGACCTCATAGATTCTCCAGTTCAACCTTTTTACTTGACAGCAGAGATCCAGAGAGCAGTGTTTTGTCCCATGTGGTCCTGTGAATCTCCAAGAGCTTAGGGAGTAGAACTCAGCAGATGTCCTGTTGCTCAGTCCCATGCTTTTCTGTGCTAATCATTCTACTTTCATTCCCTGTCCTTTAGGGTGCTTAAAGCAGAAAAGAACATGGGCTGGGTCTAAAGACCTAGATTTCAGACCTAGAATCATTCTCTCTCTGTCTCTCCCTCTCCCTCTCCCCCCTCCCTCTCCTCCTCCCTCTCCCTCTCTCCCTTTCTCTGTCTCTCTCTCCTTCCCTCCCTCTGTCTCTGTCTCTTTCTCTCTCTCTCTCTCTCACTCACACACACACACACACACACACACACGCACACACATGCACATGCACCACGAAGTTATCAGACAGGTCCCTCTTTTTTGGCAAATAACTATTTTACGCAAATAAATTATAATAACTCCTAAAGTTTTTACATAGACACAGGCATTTATTTTGCCCTGTTATGCCTGAGGTATTCTGGGAGACACTTTAGGTGACTCAAAGTTTAGGAAGTTGCCTCACTGTAAGAGCTTATAAAGAAGCAGTGACACACAGGCTAAGAATCTATAATGGTATCTCAGCACTAATTTTATATTTACTCTTTTGTTTTGTTTTGTAAGATAGGGTCTCACTATGTGGTTTTCAGGGTGTCCTTGAACTCACTGTGTAGTCCAGGCTGACCTCAGCCTCCTAAGTGCTGGGGTGCAGGCATGCATCACCATGCTTGGGTTCTGTATTTACTTTTTTAAAAAAAGAATAGTTGTTTTTGGTTTTTGAGACAGTCTTGCTATGTAATCTAGGCTGGCCTTGAACTCACAGCAGTCTTCCTGCCTCTGCCTCCCGAGTGCTGGGTTTACTGGTGTGTGCCACCACACCTGATCTAAATAAAGAATATTTATTATTATTATTTTGTGTATGTGGTGCTGGGGATTTAACCTAGGACTTTGTATGTGCTTGGCAAGCACTCTACCGCTTAGCTACATCCACATCCTGTATTTACTTTTAATCACTAAATATAGTATTTCCAAAAAAAATCAAGAAAAAAAACCCGCAACAATAAAAGCTTCAGAAATTATCTCTGATAAAATACTTAATAAAATTTGGTAACTTCTATCTGAAAACTTGTGGTGGCTTCAATTATCAAATCTGTCATGATAATAGGTGGGTTAAATCTTAGTGCCCTAGGTTGGCTTTGTAAACTAGTCGGAAACAAAGTGAGGTGAGATGTAGGAGGTCAGGTAAGATTGAGAGTGAGAAAGATTCATTGTCTTCATAGTCAGGAAGCCACCAGTGACTTCACTGGCTGCAGTGAGGAAGGTGGGAAGGCTGGAAACCAGAGCACAGTGAGCTGGGGAGGGAAGTAGATTTAGCAGGTACAGGCTGTGTTTGTAAGAAGTAGGGCTACCAGAAAAAGCTAAACCAAAGGGCATTGACTAGAAGGGAATGTGGAGGTGAAGGAGCGTTTTTCAGGTATGAGCCTGATTAAACAAGCACTGGTGGGAAGGAGTGAGTGGAGGGAACGAGTCAGAGACACAGGAGTGATGACAGACAGAGCCAGCACTCCTCAGAGGCTGTGGGGGAGGGGGCGAAGTCCAGAGCTCAGTTCTCTTCCTTATTTTGAGGAGTTAAGTGGCAGGGAGAGGAGGAGTACCTGACCTGAGAGTGCAGCTCTTCCACTCAGACCAACGGTAAGGTCACAGGTGGATATTCTTAAGATAAATGACCTTGATTTGCTGCCACAGAAATGAGCAGAGATAAAGGGAGGACGCCAAAAGACAAGGTCCAGGTGCAAGAGTCTCCCAGGAAGCAGTGAGGCAGAGCAGGCCAGCCCTGGAGGCTGGCTGAGGCCATGAATTCATCTAGGCTCAAATCCCCAGCACTAGGCTAATTTCTCATAGTGTTCAGCACTTCTGCCGGAAATCGTAGGCTTGTTTTAGAGTTAGTTTGGCAAGTGTAAGGATAAGAAATAAATAGCTGCTTATTCAATTCCTATATGTTAGACTATTTAAAGCTCTTTATAGATAATAACTGGTTTTCTGTAAAAACAAACCTTTGAGGTCAGTACTGTTGTTATTCCCATTTTCCAAACAGGAAAACTAAAACTTAAGAAAAGTCAGGTAATTTAACTCAAAGATCCAGACCCAGCACCCTGCCACAACACCCACATAAGTGAACTCTTAACCACTCTATTGTCTTTGAAGCAGTAGGCAGAGAGAAATTGAGGTGTTAGTTTAGAGCAGCCAGGCTGGCGAGGGCAAGTAGTACAGAAAGGAGGCGGCTGAGACCATGGCGGGGACTGGAAAGCTGTTGGCATGTATAGGGTATTTTAATTTTTTTTTAACTTTATCATCATTCACTAAACACACATATATACAAAAATTAAAATTATTCAAAGAAAAGCAATGCAATGGAAAAAACTATTATAATATTCAAATATACTAGAACTCAACCAAAGGAAAACTAAAAAGTACTTAAACATTTTTCCATATAATTTTAAAAAACATCTCAATCATTAACAAGACATCAAAGGATGTGATTTGTTTTAGAAAGATTTTCAAAACTAATATTGAACAAGTAGTGGTCTAGAAAAAATTTCTGATTAGCTAGTAGACTCCACATAGGCCAAATTTTTTAAATTTAAATTTCAATACAGTCATGTGACACATGATGGAAATATAATCTGAGAAATATGTTATTAGGCAGTTTCATCCATATGTATCACAAAGTACCACACAGTGCCAACTTCTAAGTGCAAACTGAGAAGGTATACGTCAACCATCTGTGATGGCCCCTTGATATTATCCAAATACGAAGTTAAACACGAGATACATGAGGCTACCACTGGCATAGCAGCACACTGTTTTACAGTAAACTCTTTTATATAAGTAGGATTATGCTCTCAAGGGTAAAAAGTATAGCATGTTATGATGAGTACCTAAAACAGTAACAGTCATTTATCACACTATCGAGTACTGTGTACTATGCATAGTTGTGTGTGCTTCTTCAGAAAAAACACCCTTCTCTCCTTTGATCTCAGTGACTCTTCCTTCCCACCCCACTGAGGAGCTCCAGCCTAGTCTCTATCTACATCTCTTCCTATAGTTTTAAAAACAGTCTACATAGGGATTCTTTCCAGATTCCAGCCTGTAACTCTGATCTCTCCGCTTCCCCTCCTGCCACCCCTACCCCTTTGAACCTTTTCTTCCTATTTCAAATTATCAATTATTCGTTTTAATCATTTTAATCCTTAATTACATTTTCTCACACTAGAGAAACTTTGGTATTTACATGTGTGTCCTATTTATTTCACTTAAGAAGATGGCCTCAATATGCATCCATTTAGCTGTAAATGACTTTAGCTTCTCATTCTTTATGGCTGAGTACTACTCCATTTCATAAAAAAACCACATCTTCTTTATCCATTTTCCAGTTGATGGGCACTTGGGCTATTTCCAAGCTTTAGCTATTACCTTTTTTTTAAGCGCTCATTTTTTGTCAAAACTCAGTTTTCCCCAATTTTATGTCTTTAGAAGTCAACATATTTCCAGGCTATGACTAACGGAATCATTTGCTGAGAAACCCACAAAATCCATAAAGAGTGTAGTACTAGTGCACTGTGTTGGAAAGCCCCAGACTGGGAGTTGGAATACCCAGGTTGTCACACTGACTGTGCTTCTGAGTTTAGTGTGACCTTGAGGAAATCCCTTTTCCCTTTTGAGTTACACAGGCACTCTTGTGCTCGGGTTCTCTGTCTCTCTCTCCCAGGTTTGTTTCATAGAATGCAGTTGGCCTGCATTCACAAGCCTCTGGATTGCAGTGGGGATATTTCTACCAAGGATGAGCTGACTCAAGGTTTAAGAGGACAGTATAGATTACTCTCTGCTTCCTGCCAGGCCAGCTATTTGTGATGCAGAGAGGTTCCCAAAGTACTGTACTAGGTGCCTGCATAGAGCCAGGCGATCAAGTTTAAATTTCTTTCAGTTGCTTCAAGGAGACCAAGATGTTGCTTCAGAGAGAGGCATTTTTAGCATTTCTGAGTACCCTAAGATGTCATCTCTCCATGATGCAGGGAAGCCTTTTAGTTTTTCATTGGTCCTGAAAACACTGTGGGTACTTCAGACTTTTTTCCAAGCTCCAATGATTTGGAGGACCTTATTTAAGATCTGTTTGGCCCCTTAGGAAGCAAGAGCCAGCCAAGGTTTGGTTTTCACAATCTGGAGAACAAAGAGTTTATCATATTAATGACAATCTGATTTGAAAATGAAAGGAAGGAGGGCTGGGGATTTAGCTCAGTGGCACCCAGCCTGCAGGCACATGGTCCTGAGTTCGATCCCCGGTACCAAAAGAAAATGAAAGGAAGGATAACCAGGATAAATAATACAAGTAAAAATGAAATACCTCCTCACAAGAATCTGTTTACAAAGCAGTTTCATTTATTGACTCATTTGATTTTATAACATCCTATAAAGTACAGGCATATTATTCTCATTTTATATGTAAGAAACATGGGGATGGATAGGGGAAGGAACATGCATTCTCTGAACCTGCCAGGCATATTACAAATGGTCACTCCACCTTAATCTTGTGAGTTAGAGCTGCTTGCTCTAATTTTCCTCAGAGAGGTTAAGTAAATTATCTGAAGTGATACAGCTAAAAAAGCAGTAGAGGGCCGGGGATTTAGCTCAGTGGTTCTGCCACCTGCCTTCCAACCACAAGGACCTGAGTTTGATCCCCGGTACCAAAAAAAACCCCAAAAGACAAAAGCAGTAGAGCTGGAATTCAAACCCACTTATCTGACCCCAAGCCTGTGCTCCTTCTGTAGCACCACACTGTCCTGGAAGCTTCAGGGGTGGAATGGTTCTGCATCGAGTCTAGCTCTAGTTTTAAGGGACCATGATGGCAGAATTGTCCCTGAACCTTCTCTTCTTCTAACACGTAAAGCCTCTGTCATGTGTGAAGTCCCGCTGCAGTTCTTTGGAGAGTTGCAATGTGTTCTTATCGTGGATAAGTACATAGCAGGATCTGGGACTTAATTCACATCAGGTAGCTTCTAGGTCAGCTGCCTGGAAGATGCCATTATGACATCTAGGGAGGTGCTCCTCTACAGTGGACGAACTTTTCCTAGATGGCAAGTCTGTCACCCTCTCCAGGGCAGAGGCTCTTCATACCCTCTACATTCACCGTTTCTTGTGCAGCCTGGGGAAAACTGCTATCTCAAAACAAAGTCTGTTTATGTAACTGTAATATGTACAACTTTGCACAGATTCTTAGTGGTAATTTCAACTAACGTTTCTATCCAACAGAATTTCAGTTCCTGCATTCAGCTTATGGTAGGAGAGCTATTTTCCTCATTGTATTATGGCCTATGAATGTGTTATCTTGTAACAGCGGTAGATCCCCCTCCTTTCCTCCCCAAATCCCATCCCCTAGGCTTGGGCTCCCCCCAGGTGGCTCAGCAAGCAGTTCCTAAAGCATGCAGGAACATGTCTGATGGTGCAAAATCATGGGTTGGAGACACACATGAACCATTTCCCTAGGGCAGCAATGAAGGATCATGGCACTGAAAGGCATCTCTTACCCTAACCTGGCGGGCGAATTCAAACAAATGAACAAAAATTCCAGGGCCTGTATGTGGCTTCTCTGTTGGCTTTGTGGCAGCCTCTGTGAAGGATTCCCTGGATTATGCCTATAAAACCCCAAATACCAGTCTGCCCCAGGATCAGATTTTTCATCTCCCTTGGCAGTCTGACATGTTTGAAGACCTGGATGACTTTAGATATAGTCTGTTTCCTTAGCCCAGACCTTGAACTCTGGACTCATTCTGGGGGACATTTTCCTGGATGGTGAAAGGTAGAGCCCAACTGTGCCAATGAGTGAGGGATCAGAGCTGAGTTCTCAAGGCAGTGTGGACTCCAGGCCCAAGGCACCACGGGAACTTCTGGGCACCTGTGAGGGTCCCAGCAGTGTAACCTGACTAGGTCCTTTTTGTCATAGACAGGAAGGGACCATGGGAGGAACTGCCACTCATACCACCCTTACCTGGGCTTCTCAGGACAATATTTTTGTGAAATCTCTGCACACTTTGATTCTTTAGATGTCTCAAATTGAATTTATATGTGTCACATCTTTTAGAAGATGAGCTGTGAAATTTCTTGCCACCACTGTGGGCTGTGTGATCTTGGGCAATTTGCTAATATCTCTAGGCCTTCCATAAAATGTTTTATTCTATATGATCTCTGATGTCTCTTTAAATGTTAATATCCCTTTCTCTTACAATTTTATTATTTCAACATTGCTATCCACTGACCTGTTTTACTTATCATTTATGGAAAGTTCCTCCCTCCCTTTTTCCCTCCCTCCCTCACTTTCTTCCTTTTTTTTTCTCAAGATACCATATAGGAACTCAGAAGACTCCATAAAAAGTTAAAAAGTCTTGTATTTTCTCACCCTTTGAGCTATAGCATTTGAAATGAAGATGCCTGAAGAATATGTATGGAACATTTCACTTCACAAAATATTCTGTGAAAGAACCTAAGTTGTCCCTTTGAAGATACAAAGACCAGTAAGGCAAAATCCCAACTCTGAAGGAGCTTATAGTTTGTTAGGGAGACAAGACAACCCATCCAAGGCCTCTCCAGGGCTTTCTAAGAGTTACTGGGATTGTCAACTGTATGGGATGCAGACAGGCGTTGTGGTTAGAGGTGGGGAGAAGAAAGACTTCACAGTAGATGTTAGTTTTCAGTTATGATTGACAGATGAATATGTGTTTACCAGGTGGAGTTTGAGAATAGACAAGTCGGAAGAGCTAGCAATGTGGAACAAACCATGGAGATGTGAAATTCCTTGGCATATTCTGGGAATGATAAGCAGTTTGTGTGCTGTAGTATGGGTTGTAGAGTGAAAATGATGAGTCTAGCAAGATCATTCAGACTAGATCATGGGGGCCTTGAGTGCTAATAAGGAATATAAACTGGAGCCTTAGGAATTCTAGCCAGTGAAGAGCCTTGCAGAAAAAGCTGAATATGGTGGTGCATGCCTGCAATCCCTACACTCAGGGAGGCTGAGATAGGAGATTCATTTGCAAGTTTGTGCCCAGCCTGGGCAACTTAGCAAGACTCTGTCTCAAAATTTTAAAAATAAGTAAAAAGAGCTGGAAATGTAGCTCAACACAAAGGCCCTGGATTCAATCTCCAGCACCAAAAACAAAACAATGAGGAAGCAGTTGGAGTAGCTCAGGTGAAAGATGATGACAGCTTGCATTGGAGCTCTCCACAACTGTAGATGTGGAAGAGCAGACAGCAACCAGAAATAGAAACTATAAGACTGATAATGATTAATTAATTGATTGATACTGGGGATTGAATGCAGGATCTCACACATACTAGGCAAGCACTCTACCACTAAGCCACACTTCTAGCCCTTTCTTCCTCTTCTTCCTCTTCCTTCTTTTCCTCCTCCTCCTCTTTCTTCCTTCAAGACAAAGGTTTCACTAAGTTACCCAGGCTGGCCTTGAACTTGTGATTCTCCTGCCTCAGCCACCCAAGCAACTGGGATTATAGGCATGCATCACTCTACCCACTGAAGCTTTATTTTTGATTCTCATATCAGTAGTGCAAAACAAAGACTACTGTCATTTTATGCAATGACAAAACAGAACTTAAAAGATTAAGTGACTTGCCCAGGGTCCCACAGCTAATAAGTGGCAGAGCCCAGGCTAGATCTCAGATTTCCTGATGCAGTACATTATTCAGGATGATGGTCCCTTGCTGCCTCTCCTCTTTCTTTGTAAGTGTGCTTAACAGATTGTTCGAGTGTCCGAGGGTGTGAGGGTCCCATGTCCAGGGAAGTGAACAACCCAGCACACAGATGTGGGTAGCCTGCTGTGACTGGGCCCGTGGCCCTTCACTGCCAGAGGTTCTCTTGCTCTCTTTTTTACTTGAAGGATAACACATATATATTAAAGAACATAATATACACTAGTCTACAGCTTAATAACATTTTTACATATGATATACCTGTACCTAACTGTCAGTTCAAAATGTAAAGCATTTTTAGGAAGTGGTTCCTTTCTGGCACTCAACAGGCTGCCTGTCAGAGCACCCTCTTCTGTCACCATGCCTCCAGAAGCTTCAGTTGTGTCTTTGTCCCACAACTGAGCTCTCATTTCTGCCACCAACAGGGTGGGTTACTTTGGAATTGTATGTGGAGGAGTAGTATCATATGGTAAGCTAATTAATGAGCTCAGGTTGACAGCCGACATTTGGTTTTAGTTTTCACATTTCTCCAATTATTTAAATTATTAATTTTTCAAATATACAGAAAAGGTACAGAAAATACTGTTTGTTCTTTGAAACTGGAAGAAAATACCCCTTTGTTCAGAACAATACATAGTTTAACTTATGTGGTCACTTAGGAAAGATAATCAAAGGCACAGTCACAGTTGCATCTTTCCTGATTAATCTGCAGCATTATTATACTCTGTATCATGCTGTCTTGTTCACTCCCTGGTTGGTGTATGGCTGTCTTGCATCCCCAGTTAGACTGTAAGTACTGTGTGCAGTGACTGTGACCTATGTGCATTCCCATTCACTGTGGCGCTCCCCTCAGTGCTGAGTACAGTTAGGCCTCAATCTCTTTGGCTAATTTTGCTTTACTTTAATTGTCATACAGTCCTTCAGGCTAATGTCAGACTTTTGGCTTATGGTGAAATTTATGGTAAAATGTCTGCCACTTGGAAGAAAAAACTGGAATGAATCAGAACCTCTAAATTCTCCAAACTCCTGTATTCAGTCCTCCTGCTCCCTGGTGGAATCTCAGTGAGATCTTATGGGCATGGGCTTGCTCTATCTGACTTCTCAGAGCCACATGTTTAACTTTTTAGGGAGCTTCCCAGCCACATGGAGTGTCAGGTTCTAAGATCAATTCAAGAGATCTTCATAAGATTTTTCTACATTAATTGGATATTTTATCAGTCCCCTTCATACCATCACTGTGCCTCCTGGGAAAGAAACTCAATAGATAATTGTTTGAAATGGGCTCCCCTTCTACAGTGTCTGCACAGCCATGTCTGGATATCCACCAAAGGCCCTGCACTCTACATGGGGTTCTGCTGGCCCTCCATTTCTCTTGCCAGAATTCTCCTCTTGGTGTCACTTTCCTGCCCATGATTTTCTTTTCATTCCTTAGCATCTGCTGTATATATTGCGGGCCATTAATGTAAGCACAGAGTCAGCCTGTAACAGCTGCATTTCTAGCCTTGGTTCAGCAGAAACAGCAGAGTCCTTGACCTTCTCTAGCCCTAGAACTTCTGTAATTGAAGGAACAGAGACCCTAGCTGTTATCCTAGCAGGCAGCAGGGGTTATGGAATCTCTCCTCTGGAGGTAGAATATCCTAGTTGAATTAGAGCGTATATAGGCATGCTTTCTTCTTGCTCTACACTGTCTTACCTCTGTCCCTTGTTAAAATGTTTCAGGTACATCTGACTGTTGCTAGTGAAACTCCCCTCCCCATCCCCTTGCAAATAGACTAAAATATTCCATATCTGAGACTCCTAAGACCTTCTTTGAGTGGAAAATATGTCACTAAAATTGTTCTTTTTTTCCATAAGTAGAAATCTGGGCCAAGAATGTTTCTCCTCTGTGTTTGGAAGTATAGTAATAAGTTAGACATTTCTACCCTTTAGAGCCCTATTTCCGCTCTCCTTCCCCTTAGGATACCATGAAGGTAAGTTTCTTGAGTGGCTTCCCCTTCTAGAACATATGAAGTATCATCTTTCAAGTTTCCCAAGCTGAGCTTTGAATCAGAATCAGCCTAGGAAGTCTCTATGGATCTCAGACTGGACCTCATCTCTATTTTATATCTACCTGAAGTCTGACATTTAGTTCTGTAATGGCACAAAGGATCATTTCTAATTTATGAAGAGATATCTAAAGTGGGGTACCCAGTAGTACCCCAGCAGGAGATATTCAGGGGTATCCAAGAGGTATGTCTATCTGGCCTCTGCCAGGTGTCCAGCAGAAGGAGTTGTTAGTAAGGAGTGCCTGCTGGATAACTAGGAATACAGCCACAGGGTCCTGGGCCTTTTAAACTGCCATAGCCACAGTGGGGTCAGTCTCTTTAGAGCAGATGGTATTGTAGCAAGGTTCATGTAATAGTAACTATTTGAAAGAATAATGTTTTATTTGAAAGCAACTTATTAAATACACCTCCAGACAGTAGTCAGACCAAAAAAAAGAAAAAAAAAAAGGATGGAAAGTGGTTTAGTTGATCTGACCCAGTAGACACTCAAAGTCTTAGGCAGAAGGTTAGGTAGAAAGAGGCATCTTCATAGTTTCAGTAGCAGGTAGAATATCCTGATTCTCTGTATGTGCAGAATTCTTTGGTTTTAAAATCATTTGGGGACTCAGTTCAGCACTCCTACAAACCTACTAACCCTTCTTAGAAAGGCTGAATCATTCTGTGTGTCTGAACAGGTCCCTTGGGTTATATGTTTCTGTCCAACACAAGACCCTGTTTTGTGTCTGTGATTGGTGGTGCCCACTTCTTATTTCTGCCTAATGCCATTCTTGTGTCTTCCCTTAAGCCACGCTGCTGATGAAACAGGCCTGGCCACAGAACTCGTCTTCCTGTGGCACTGAAGGCACCTTCCACCTCCCAGTGGACACCGGGACCGAGAACCGAACTTACCAAGCGTCCTCTGCGGCTTTCAGTAAATACAGCCTGTCTCTTCCTTTCCTTGTTCCCCTTAGTTGGGACTGATTTGTTTCTTAGGAAGATAAGAAAGGGATTTTTTAAAAATGACATTTATAAGGTCCGGGGATTTAGCTCAGTGGCTCCGCTGCCTGCCTCGCAAGCACAAGGTCCCGAGTTCAATCCCTGGTACCAAAACAAAAAAGACATTTATAATATAAATACTGATTTAAGAGGTTCTTCTACCCATGTAAAAAATTGGTCTTCCTCATTCAGGAAAGATCATCCTCTTTGATCATGTACCCAGTTTCTGGGAGACACAGTATTGAGGGAGGGAGAAGGAAGTACTCACCTAGCCAAGAAGTTTGATGAGGGAAAGACTGTTACTGCATTTCATGGGAAAGGACAGAGGGCTTTCCCCCAAGACAAAGTTTCTTAACCTCAGCTCTGTTGACATCTGGGCTAGATAATTCTTTGTAGTTGGGGAGTGGCCTGTGCATTGTAGGATGTTAAGCAGCATCTCTGATCTCTACCCACTAGACGACAGTAGCCAAATGTCATTGTCACAACTAAAGATGTCTCAAAACATGGCATAACATCCCCTGGGGAGTAAAAATGCCCTCATATTAAAAAAACAAAAAACAAAACAAAACACTACCCTTGTCTATACTGCATTACAGAAGAAGATATATATATATACATGGACAGATGCCAGTTTGCCAGTGAGATTAGACCTGTTTCTCTTCAGAAGGGTAACCACTGCTATCATCTTCACGATTGTTTTTTTATTCCCCAGTACCAGGAATTGTTGAACCCAGGAGCTCACAAATGCCAGGCAAGCCCTTTACCACTGAGCTACAGCCCCAGCCCTTTAAGAAGTTTTTTTTAAATTTTGAGACAGGGTCTCACTAAGTTGCATAGGCTGGCTTCAAACTTAAAATCCTCCTGCCACAGCTTCCCAAGTAGCCAAGATTACAGATATGCACCATAGCATCTGGTCATATCTGATGTTTATTTGTTTGAGACAGGTTCTCTCTATGTAGTGCAGGCTGGTCTTGAACTCCCTGTGTAGCCCCGGCTGGCCTTGAACTCATGTCCATCCTCCTGCTTCAGCCTCCCAAGTGCTAGGATTACAGGTGTGCACCACCATGCCTGGCCTGGTCACCTCTGATTTTTAACAAGGTGGCTCCACTGAGGAAATGAGACCAGTGTTTAAAAATCACTGAATGTCATTTAAACTCTGTATAAAGAAGAATTTGGTGGCTAGGGATTTAGCTCAGTGGTGCCGCTGCCTGCCCTGCAAGCACAAGGTCCTGAGTTCGATCCCTGGTACAAAAAAAAAAAAAAGAATTTTGTGCCTTGTAGGAACTATGCAGTAGAGGAATGGTTAACTTTGGATGTGGTGAGCCCTTATCTTTCAAGTTGTGCCAACAGGGCCTGGATAAGCCCTCAGCAGGATGTTACAGTGAATTATTAGCCTACTAAGTAAGTAGACTAAACAAATTCATTGTATTTTTTCTCATTTTTAAAAATATCCAGTGCCATTTTCTCCTTGTTATCATTGTCCCGAGATGTCAAGATCAGCTTATATAACATGTTCACCTTTTAGGGAAAATGCTTTCATAATCACTTTCCCACTTACTCAGCACTATACTTCTATAATGTTATTGGGTAGATTTTCATCTCAGTTGAAAGCTGAGACTCAGAAAGGCAGTGTGCACAGTACTGCCCAACTAGTAAACAGAACTAGAAAGTAATGGCTCCCAGGTAAGATTCTGTTATGGCTTTTCTGATGAGGTTGATTTTACCCTATAAGAGAGGGATGATAAGGCTGGGGATTTAGCTCAGTGGTTCCGCCGCCTGCCTCGCAAGTGCAAGGTCCTGAGTTTGATCCCCAGTACCAAAAAAAAAAAAAAGAGAGAGAGAGGGATGACAGTTGTTAGGGAGTTTTTCCAGATAACTTCAGGTAGAAATGAGTGAACATATGAAGACTATATATGTAAACTGACATATACGTATTCTCTTGGAGATCTGTACATATGGATAGAGATATGTAAAAAGGGACACCGACTATAGTATAGTACAAAGAAGCCCAGAGTTGGATTCTAGACTTGTGTTCTATGTGGCATTGGATAATTCATGTCCATACTTTGGACCTTTTGAATTATAAATTGAGAGACCTGGACTAGGTCATCTTTAAGGTTTTCTCTAGCTATCAGGCTCTTGATTCTCTCAATTTGGAGCTGTGTACCAATATGTCTTATCCCACAGGGACCTCCTCTCTTGCAGTCCTGACCAGTAGCTGGCCTTTGAGCCTTGGCTCACACATCTCCAGGGACAGGTGCTCATTCCCTCCAGAGGCAGCCCTTTTTGCAGTTTGGCAGTCTGAATAGCAGAAGGTCTTACCTTTTTATTATGTTAAAATCTTCCTGAAGTCCCATTAAATGTCCATTTGCACCAGGCCAAGTGGTTCATACATGTAATCCTAGCTACTTGGGAGGCTGAGGCAGGAGGATCACAAGTTGGAGGCCAGCCTGGGTAGTTTAGTGAGACCTTGTCTCAAAATAAAATTTTTAAAGGGCTGAAGATGTACCTTAGTAGTAGAGCACTTGCTCAGCATGTGCAACGCCCTGAATTCAATTCCCAGTGCTGAAAAAACAAAACAGAAATGTCTAGTAGTCACATCCCAGTGTCTTCCCAAACAGGCTGTCACAGTCCCTGGGAAGACCAAAATGTATCCCTTTCTTTTAAGCAAGTAATATATAGATTTGTGTGATTTTTTTTTTTTTTTAATGGAGTTGGGACTCTCACTCACAAGGCTCCTCCCAGTATTCAGATTTTGTTGCTTCTAGTGCTACAGAAAATTTAGGGCGCTTGGGCAAATACAGTTCAATTTCACCAACACTTGCTAAGCCTGTTTTTAATTAGGTCTTCCTCCTACTTATTCAATGTTCTCTTGTTTGACTACCAGCAAGGAGAATTAGGGGTCAAGGCAAGATTTAGACATAAAGCTTTGTTTTGTCCAGACATATAAATCTGATAGTCAATAAACCAATTAGTCTAAAAGGCATCTGTGATGTGAGGATCAATGCCTTTGAAGGTGGTAAGGGCTTTGCAACTCAAAATGATTTATGACACTGAAGAAAGATTGAAGAGAGGGCTGCAAAGGTTTTTGTCTTATTAATGCATATACTCTTTATTATCCTATTTGATGGAATCTAAAATTATGGTTGGGGACCTGAGAGAGACATCATAAACAAAGCCTCTTTTATAAGGCAGCACTGGGACTTGTAGGTATCGAATTCCATTCTTCTCTCTTGATACTGCCTTTAGTGAAATCGGGACACAAAGACCAATATACCGCATGCCCAAGATTAGACTGCAGAGAGTTTTAACTCAGAAGGAGGTCTGCCCAGGGCATAGTAAACCCTGAACTCTGGACTCGGCTCTTACTGATTTGCTGTGCAATGTTGGGAAAATTACTGCCCTCCTGGGCTCTAGGTTCTTCCTCTAAAGGAGACAGGGTAGAATGCAAGCCTCTGATATGCTTAAAGCATAGCATTCCAAAGTCCTAAGTGACCTTCGGCTGTAGAATTCTTTTCAGAGTAGTTAGGCTTCCAGTGAGTGAGTTGAGTCTAAGATTATTTGGGTAAAAATCATATGAGTTTTTTTTTTTTAACAAGCCCATTGGCACTGGGCATGGTGGCGCACTCCTGTAATCCAGCACTTGGGAGGCTGAGGCAGGAGAATGGCCAGGACTTCAAGGCCAGCATGGGCTGCATAGTGAGTTCAAGGCCAGCCTGAACTACATATCAAGACCCTGTCTCAAAAGAAAAAACCAAACTCAACAGCTTCTTTTACTTTGACACACATAGTAATAAATACCCAAGGTTGCCCAGGCCACAGCCCTGGGAAAATTGTCAGTGGTCCCCCAGGATATGGACAAGACCTTTGGTCTTTTGTAGAAAGTCCTCTGAAGTGATGTGCTCATGAAATTACTATTGGGAAAAAAAATTACTGTTGAGCTACTCATAAACTTAGAATGCCAACCCCAGAAAGGCCCTCTGAAATTATCTAGTACAAATGAGGCTATTCCTGAGAGAGAGGAAGTGAGTTGACTCTTCAGGAGCCCAGGGTGGAGGCCCCTGGCAGTTTCTGCAGCCTCGCGTAAGATCCTCTGGACAAATGGCAACCTCGAAAACCATTGTGGTTGGAGGAAGTGCCACTGCCAGTAGCCTCTTTTAGCATCTACTTCTTCTCTCATCTGTGAATGCTTTTGTTGCCTTGGAGAACGCCAGGATCCTCTCTACCTCTGCAGTTCTGCTTCTCCTGTCCCAAACTGTCAGACAGTCAAGCAGGGCTGCCTCCTACAGTGGCATTGCTTTCTCTGCCAGGAGTGTTTTGGCTGCTGATTTATATTCTGAGTGTGTGTGTCTCATTTCATAACATGAAGAGAAAGAAACATTCTCAGACAAGGTTATTCTTAGATGTGGAAACCAAAATCTATTGCAGTCTCTTGGAGCCTTTTGATTTTCCTCAGAGGGACAGTCCCAACTCTTTGTAAGCTGGTTGTCCTTGTGGCCATAGAGGGGGTGGTATACCTTCCCTGGGCAAGATAAAAATTTCAGAACACATCCTCCAGGAGAATAAAGGAAAGTCACCAGCATTGATGGTGACTTGTTAACTTTAAAGAATCATAAAATCATAGCACTTTAACCATAAAATTTTAGAATCTCAGCTGGGTATAGTGGTGTATGCCTGTAATCCCAGCACTCTGGGAGCCTGAGGCAGGAGGATTACAAATTCAAGCCCAACCTGGGCAACTTAGTGACTTAACAGGACCTTGCCTCAAAAAAAGGGGGGGTGGGGGCTGGGGATGTGGTGCAGTATGAAGGCCTTGGTTCAATCCCTAGTAGTGTTTGTTTGTTTGGTTGGTTGGTTGTTTTTTTGAGACAAGATCTTGCTATGTAGTTCAGGCTGACCTTGAACTTACTAGGTAGCCCAGGCTGGCCTTGAACTCATAGCGATCCTCTTGCCTCAGCCTACTGACTACTGGGATTACAGGCATGCAATAAATATAAGTTTAATAGTATAGATGAGCAGGGGAAAAGAAATAAGCAGAAGTCAATATTTGATTTTCATCCTTATCACTTTTTCTAGGGTCCCTCTAACTTGATGTAAACTTACAATTTTCAAGGAAATTCCTATTCCACTCCCATTTTATCATAAATAAATTGAATAGTTTTTCTGTTTGTATGATAAAACAGGAAAGGCTGTTACATTTGAATGGAAAAGACACTCCATTTGTGATCAGTGTCACACAAAATCACATTCCCATCAGAAAACACAAACATCAACATCACAAAACTAAAAATACACAGGAGATGAATACCATTCAATAAATATGCAAGCTACTTCAGTCTCCCCAAAAAAGGACCAATACTTCAAAAACCATAAAGAAAACCCCTGTCCATTTCCAAGTAACCCAAGTAGAAGAGACAGCAAGATGCCATGCATGCTATTTTACCCCTCCCCTGGCCCTTCACTACTTAGAATCTCCACAGAGACTGAAAATGGGACTCATTTCTTCTCGAGGGAGAACAAATTCACTGATACCTTTGGGCAATATCTCGTTTCTCAGACACCCTGGCTCTATACCTAGTTCTGCTTCCAAAGCCTCTTCACATTGTTCTAGGTAAGACTTGGGATCTGTTCCATTAAGATGGGCCATATAAACTAGGAGTTTCATCTTGCTGGTTTCAGCATGGGCCCTTGGACCCCACAGGAACTCATAGTGAGCAGGATCACTGTTAGGAATCTGCTGGTACATCAGGTACTCTTCCCGTACTAAATCCTCAGTGATGAATTTCCGGGCTTCCTCAAAATGAATGTGCTCAGACTGAGCTAACATGTCCCATCTTTTCACTTTTTTGGTTAGATCCTCCTCACTGATACGGTTGCCCTCTATGAAGATTAGAGACAGGACGAATATAATGATGTCGATTTGTCGAAAGAACAATTCTTTCATCATCGCCATCTAGTATCCCACTGTATGTAAGACCCAAAATGGGGACTAGCTCATATATGTTGCCAGAGTGATTCACTTTCCTGATTTTAATGCCAAAGCCCAGACACATGGACTCACAGAGTTCCCAAAAGTTCAGAGGGAAGTTGTTACGGTAATCAAGGGGCAGAACATGCAGCATTTCTTTCATGGTGACCTGCTCCTTCTTCTGATACTTGTGGAACAGAAATGACACCAACTTACACAACTTGGCATTTAGGAGCACATTTTGCACGATGTGAGAGAAGTGTATGTCCTACAAGGAGCTTGAGCCCTCACAGGATTGACTCCTTTGACTGGAAGTCATGAGGACAGCAAGAACTTGTTGAGGATCAGAAGCCTTCAAATCTCCAGTGCTGGAAAATAGAGTGCTGAGCAATAGCAATTCAGCTGCTCGAAGAATCCAAACCCTGATTTTGAAAAATCACAACTGAGAATTCTCCACTGCACAGTGCAAGGCTAGCAACAGAGGAAGGAATGGGTTATTTTCAGTCTCAACCTGGATTGTGGCCTTCTCTCTCACCCTCAGCCCAAAAATTAGAATCTTATAGTCCTGTAGTCTGTGTTAGATGTTGGAACAGCCCATAGTATTACAGTTTTATTTCCTGTCTCTTATAGTTTTTCAGACCAGTTTCTGTTCAAATATCCCTGTGAAGGAAGCTTGTTATCTCTCAGTGGAAGAGAGAAAACAATAATAGCTAACCTATATGAAGTGCTTATAGTATGTTAGGCACTATGGTTAGTGCCTTGTACTTATTTAATGTGTTTATCACAAGAACCCACCATCCCCATTTTACAGGCAGGGAAATGATGTACTCTACAGTTAAGTACTCTGCTATTAAGTAGCAGAGCTGAAGCTTGGACTCAGGCTGTCACTTGTCTTCTGATTGCTCGTCACCACTGCTCTGTGCTGTAGCACTTTCAGAGAGAGGCATCTTTTGATTCTGAGTAGATTCTCCAAATCTTTTTTTGTTTTGATATGTTTATTTTGCAGCCCTGGGGATTGAACCTAGGGCCTTGTCCGCCCTAGAGAAGCACTCTAGCACTGAGCTACATCCCACAACCCCTTCACACCTTGTTTTATTCTTTTAAATCAGGGGCCAGCAGACTTTCCTGTAAAGGGCTAGATAATAGATATGGTAGGTTTTGGGGGCCATATGGTCTTCATAACTACCATTGTAACAGGAAAGTAGTTATTCTATAGTGGGTGTGTTACGTTGAAGCTTTATTTACCAAAACAAGCTGCAATTACAGAAATTTTTAATAGTGTGAATAAAAGATTTTGTGGAAAAACAAATCTGGGAAACATAATCTCATATATCCATATTTTAGAGATCCACCATTCACCCTAACATTTTAAGGACTTCTCAGGATCATAGAATTGTAAAACCAAATCTGTTTATCTCTATTTTACATTGCTAATTAACAAACTTAGGGAACCTTGGAACTTCCCTCCTGTCCCCTCTCTCCCAAAACAACTATTAAGATCCTTAGAATTGATAGTCTGATGCACACCCTTGGTCATGCCTGTCTTGAGAACCTCCTTTGTTTCACAGAGAAGTAAACTGAGTCCCTGAGGTGAAGCATCCATCAGATGACTCCTTCTAGATGTCTGCAAACCTAGACTCCCTCTTCCCCCATGATACCTGCTTTTCTTCCTGCAACTACATCTCATAATTAGCTCTGCAATTTAGAAGCCTTGAGGAATCTGCTCTAGACTTCTCCCTCAACTGATGTGCACTCCCACTTCCAGTTAATTTCTACTTCTTATCAATCCTGCCCTCTCTCTCTTTTTTTTTTTCTCTTGGTACCAGGGATTGAACTCAGGACCTTGTGTGGTGTCACTGAGCTAAATCCCCGGCCCCGATCCTTTAATGCATCCTTTCCACTTCATCCTCAGTGTGACTCATTTCCCAAACAAATTTGGTCACAAAACCAGTTTTTCATAGAAGAAGCTATGGATTCTTCAGTAGGAGAGGACAGGGCACCCTTGGTGGCAACTGAACAGCAGCTGTCATATCCTCCTCAGTCACTGGGGCACAGAATGTCATACCAAAGCTGTGTTGTGAACTGGGATTTGGGCCCATGTGGTAGCTTGCTTTTACTTGGAGTTAGGGTAGACCCAGGATCTCTAGACACATGGAATTTTAGTTAAGGGATCTTCATTCTCAGCCTCCTGTTTTATAAAATAAGAAATTCAGGCCCAGATAATTTGGTGGTTATCATCCAAATTAGAGGGAAAGCTAAATTAAACCCTAGATCTCTTCTCTTCCAATAAAGCTCCTCTCCACTCTGCAACCCATCCCCTTCTTGCAGAAACAGCTCCTTGGAGCTGAAGGAGTCCTTGGTGAACATCTCGCAGGCAAAAGAGCTGAACCAGAAAGGTTCATTGATGTCAGCCAGCCCCACCAAGGGTGGGACCTCAGGGAAGAAGCTACCCCAGCTCCTCTACACTGGGGCTTCAGTGCTAAGGTCCCTGACATTGTCCCTTCAACTCAGAACAGTTAGGGTCTTTAGGAGTTCCTAAAATAATCTGTCCTGTCTGAGCTTCAGGTTATTTGAGAGAATTAGAAATCACTTAATGATTATCTGATGTCACAAGACAATTCCATCTGGGGACTCTGTAAGGACAGTCTTGTTCCTGAGTGACGTGTGATTCACATTCTTTCTGTGAACATAAGATCTGACTCTTTTTCCAGGGGACTCAAAGGTAGTACAATTTGTTTGCATGGCCAGTTGTGAGCTTCTGAGGGCCTGATCTCTCAGCCCCAGCTTTTGTCTATGCTTTTGGGGTACAGACATGGCCTGAGTTCCACGACAGTGTGAAATGTTGTGATCCCTCACATCGGACCTTTAGGGCAGAGGTGACCCTCCTCCAAGCCCCAGAAGAGGCAAAGCCAGCTCTGAAGATTTTAGTATCCCAGAAGATGAAGATCTCTGAGTGGTATTTTATATGGCCCTTTTCCCTTCAGACTCAGTAGGCAGGAGCCAAATATTGTCAAGGGAAGTCCATAAAAGGAGAAAAAAAAAAATAGGCAAGACTCAGGGGAAATTTTTGCAAGGCAGAGAAAGACATGACCAGCAACAGAAAATACCATGGAGTGCTGAGTGAGGAGTCATAAAAAGCAAGAAGTAGAGAGTAGGTTAAGGGACTTCCGTCTATGTGCACCTCCCCTTTTCACAGACAGCTCAGAACCCCAGGCTATCAGAGCTGAGAGGGTCCTATAAGAGACCATCTGGTTCCACTCTCTTATTTTATAGTTGAGAGCCCTGAAACCTAGAGAAACAAAAGATGCCCAGAGTCATCCATGCAGCCTTGTGCACCAGGATTGAGGGAGCTGCCTCTGGGCCCAGGACTCACTGGGTGGAGCCCTGTTGTCTCGTTTGTTTCTCATCTGTTTCCAGCCTGGATTCAGCCCATCTTTGTCTGGGGGATTATGACTAGGACCTGCTACCTTCCAACAGTGCTGTTCTGCCAACTAACTGGAGGTCTCTCTTACTGCCTTGGTACAGGATATACTGCGGGGACACCATACAAGGTCCCACCAACCCAGAGTAATACTGCTCCACCCCCTTACTCCCCATCACCCAACCCCTATCAGACGGCCATGTATCCAATCAGAAGTGCCTACCCCCAGCAGAACCTGTATGCCCAGGTAGGTACACATGGAGGCCTGGGCCTACCTCTTCACAGGTAGAGGAGCCTCCAGCATAGGTGGAGTGGGTGGGTAGGGTGGGGCAGGGTGAGAAAGAGAGAAGAGTTCATGGGTCTCTCCAGCTGTCACTGTGGCATCATTGAAACAATATTCCTGCACTCTGCCCATTCCTTCACTCCACCTCAATCCCCAGAGGGGTAAGGCATAAAGTCACTAAGATTAACAGGGACCAGAATATCAGAGGGGCATGGAACATCTAGCTCAACTCCTTTGTTAAACAGGCAGGGAAGCAGAGACCCAGAGAGGGGAAAGCTTGTCCAAGGTCACACAGAGAGCCATTGGGTGAGTCAGGATAAGGCACTCATATACAGTATCTTGGTCTTCTCTCTCCACTCTCACTCTGCCTTCCTCGATACACTTATAAATCAGGAAGGAGAACAGTGCCTAGGCTCTGCTACTTGTGCCTTTTATATTGACTCTAGGCAAGTTATTCTCTGTGCCTTGCGGCCCCATCTGGACTCCCTCAGCTGGAGTAACACATTGTCCTAGTGTGACAGTTATACATGAGGTATAAGTGGCAAAAGTACTTTTTTATTATAAAAAACAAAGGAAAACAGAGTTGAGATCAATTTTTCTGGTTTGTAGTAAGCTGCCTTGGACAATACTCTCGGGATACAGCGAGACTCTTCTCATTGTTCAATAGAAAGATTTGAGAATCTCTGGATTAAAATGATCTTGGGGGCATCTGTGTACTCTTCCCAGGGGTCAGCAGCCCAGTGGGCTGTTGTGGCAGGAAACAGCCAGGTAATCTGGGCAGGCCATTTTCTCCATCCTCACCTTTTGGCCTAAGGAGAAATAGACAGTAAGAGACATATTGGGAAGTGCTAGCCATTGATATTTTCCAGTTTGGAAACTGCCAGTACTACCACCAGTGTAATAATACCACTGATAACCCTTCAGCATATATGCCTAGTGCTCTGGGGTTCCCCAACCCCATTCTTGTGCTTAGAATCTGATTGACTGTACTCTCTGCCTTTCCATTTTAGGCAGCTATAAGAGAATATTGCTGTAAAACATAAACAGTAAAATGCTCACACCAAAAAAAAAGAAAAGAAAGAAAAATGCTAACACCAGAGAAAAAGGAGTAGAGCTCTTATCCTGTTAGGTAATCATAGCAGCTCTAGGGGCAGAGCAGGACAAGGGAAGGGCCAACATTGAATGGACCAGTCATGGAGTAAGGCAAAGGAGAGCTGCAGCTGGGACCTAGACTTGTGTCCCTGAACCAGTGGTTCTCTCACCCCCCATTCCTTAGGGCCTGGGAAATACAGGGACCCCACCCTCACCCCTACCACCTCTCCAAGAGCCCATGTGACCTCAGCCTCTTTCCTCCAGGGAGCCTACTACACACAACCAGTGTACGCTGCTCAGCCCCATGTCATCCACCACACCACGGTCGTCCAGCCCAACAGCATTCCCTCTGCCATCTATCCAGCTCCTGTTGCTGCCCCTAGGACCAACGGTGTGGCCATGGGCATGGTCGCGGGCACCACCATGGCGATGTCAGCAGGTGAGGGCAGCATCTGCCTCAGCATTCATCCCTCTCCAGGAACTCCAGTGGAGCAGAGAAGAGAACATTCACGGAACTGACTGTAGCATAGCATGAGAAATCCTGTGCTGGGGACCCAGAGGAAGGACTCTGTAAATCTGTCACAGGGATGAGGACAGTTTCACCAAGAAGGGCATAGTGAACAAGGCCTTAAAGGATGAACAGAGGCTAAGCAGAGACATGAAAGAGGGAAGGGCAGAGCGGGCAGAAAGAATGTGAGGGTGGCACATTCACAGAATGAAGACGGCCTAGCTCTTACAGGATGGGAGTGGAAAGGCAGTGGGTCCAATTGGCAAGGATAAGAGTGAGTCCTGACCCTGGAGGATAAGGGATGTAGCAAAGGGCTTTATACAGGGGAAAGGAAGGCTTGTGTTTGACATTCTCTCTGGCTGCAGACTGGTGGCAGGATCAGAAGGGGAAAGGCTAGAAGCAAGTAGGCAGCGAAGAGCTGTCAGGGCAGTTAGAGGGAGAGATGATAACACTAGGACTCTGGTGGCCATGAGGGACCCAGAAAAGAAGGTGCAAGAGTGGTGTTATTTAGCAGGCAGCAGCATAAGGCCCTGTCCCATAATGAATTATAAGGGATGAAAGAATCAGGAGGCCCTTAAGACCCATTGATAGCTTATGTCAGAAACCAGACCAAAGCACTGCCCTTAAGGAAGCTTGAGGATGAGGGTGGAGAGCACAACTTTAGAAAGGTCTTTGGATGAGTTAACACCAGAGAGGAACATGAGCATTCCCTTGATGGGCCAGGGAAGACCAGGGGGATGTGACCAACTTGTAGAGACCTAAGTCTTAACCATTGAGGTGACTACCTGAGGAAGAGACTGCCAGGAGCAGAGTGGGCATTTGAATTTTATTCCACTCCTTACATTCAAAAGCTTCTGGATACCTACCCTGTGCCAGCCATGCATGCCCTTCAGGTTGTAGGGACCAGATACCCGTAACTCAGACCAGAGTCCTACCCTTAAGGAGCATACAAGTTAGTACGGGAGATATAGCCACAGACACCAGCTGTTATTGCCGTGTGTGCGCAGTAAGTGAAGCATACAAAGAAAAGGGGACTTTGAAAGAATAGTGCTTGATTCTTTCATCCAGCATCTGAAAAGGTCCCCCTTAGGGGATGAAGCCCTGAAAAGTGGGGAAGGGAGAGTGGTTCATCAAGCAGGGGAGCAGCCATGCAAAAGACCATTCTCTTCATTCCTGTACCCTGGAGTGGCCTCTTCAGGTTTCCTTTTCTCTCTCTGGATACTCAGGTACCCTGCTGACTACACCCCAGCACACTGCAATTGGGGCACACCCTGTCTCCATGCCAACATACAGGGCCCAAGGAACCCCTGCGTACAGCTACGTGCCCCCGCACTGGTAAAGCCTACGGCCCATCCAAGTGAGTGGGGCCCATGGGAGGGGGAAACATACAGGGACCACCTCAGAGCCCCTGACTTGAGTGTGGAGCACAGATGTCACAAGGGCAGAGTTACCACTTGCTTCCCTGCTCCAAGGTCTTGGGGTGAGTTGACTCCTAGCAAGAAATGCAGTCATTCTCATGACCGGAAGGCTGTGACCAGCTTGTAGAGACCCAAAATTTTAAAGAGCCTGTGTTATCACTCAGAATATTTTGACACATGCAGGAACTGTAGGAGTCCAAGGATGTTCCTAAATTCTCTTTTCTATGGCAGCATCTCCCCTGCCCTCCTCCAGGGACTCTTGGCACCAGAACACAACTTCCACAAGTGGGGAGCAAACATCTTCACTAGGAAGGCACCAAGAGCCCTGTTTAGGGCTCCCAGTTGAGGGGATGAGGTCCAGAGCCTTCTCAAAGTGGACCATGTGATATCACTGTCATTAATGGTTCCCCTCTCTCCCCAGATCTGGAGTCACACATTGTATGCAACTACTCAAGTCTTACACCGGTGCTGGAGCAGCTCCCTAGCAGCACCACTTCTATTTGCAAGAAGAGATGAATGGAAGTGCAAGGGTCACTTTATGCATCTTTAATGGTTTTGGTTTTTATTTTTAGTTTTGTAAAAGCTGCTTTTTCTAATCTCCTGCCTCTCCCCCATTGCCCTCTCTTAGCTGCTTCCCTTCCAGCTCTACTCCCTTCTCCTACCTGACCAGGCCACATCCCCTTTGCACTTCTTTTCTTCCCCAAGTATCCTGTCCTCAGGACCCCAGTCTAGTGGCAAGCAGACAGTGAGTTTGTTGCAATGGTTGAAATGAAGGCTGGGCTTCTCTGGAAAACCATAAACAGATGTGGCCCTCAGGTCTGGAGTGGGAACTCAGAGCTGTTGAACGGGCCACATCTCTGGGCAAATTGTTTCTTTTCTGGGTTTTCTTAAGATAATTCAGGACATTATCATGTCCTTACACAAATGAACTGATGAAATGTCTTCTGAGAACCATCACAACAAACCAAGAATAAAACCATCTGATTATATAGGAGCTACTTTAGCAGTGTCATACCCTAGGCTGAGAACCTGGGAAAACAGTCTTTGGGAGAATTTGGGGAAGGGTGGGGGGAGGGAGGGCACTGTGGGCAAGGAGAGTGAAGAAGGGGAAAGATGTCCTTGCCCTGATGGCTTTGGTTTGAAAGATCTCTGGCCATAATGTTTGGGCCTGGACCTTCTGATTTGCACAGCAATGTTAACTGACCTGGCACTTCCTCAAAAGGTGATTTTGACTTCAGACCTGCCAAGCAGCTGCAGGGTGGCGGGATCCCAGTATCCCGAGGCCTTGGAAGGCCAGGTGCCCTGCATAGTTCAGACCTCGGCCTCTGAGCCCTCATGGACCCACTCTGATGAGGAGCTTCCTCCTGATTAGAGTGGGGACCTGTGACATTTCTCTCCCATTCCCTTCTGCCCTTCTCCCAGTGCCAGGGGTCACCTGTCTGTGTCGGTCTGGGAGGCTGACAGGCAGGCCAAGCTTTTGGTTACCTTGTGCCATTCATGGCCAGAGTGAAGGAACCACATTCCAGGTGGGTGCTGGCAGCTCTGAAGGTCAGGGTAGTGAAGGAAAAGCAATAGCAATAAACATTTCATAGACTCATGGAACTGAAGGGACCTTAGCAATCATCTCATCCATTTCCCTATTTGACACATGAGGAAATTGAGGCCGAGAGAAGAGGAAAAGACTTCCCTAGATCTCACAGTAAATTAGCATTAAATGCAGGCTTCCTACCTAGTGGCATGTTGCCTACAAAAATGTACCTAGGGATGGATTGGCTTGGTTTTATAAAAATTAGGTCATCAGCGCCCACACCTGGTGAGCTCCGGAATGACCTCTGGGCTCTTGTTTGTGCTTTTTGCCCCCATGGACTGCAAAGGCAGTGGGGGTTGAAGACAGGGCAGAGGCCATATAGGGGCAGATGGCAGAAACAGAAATTGCAAATGAAGAAACAGCATTTGGAAATTCTGTGAAGACATCTGGAACTTCATCCTGTACCTGGCTCCACCCCTAGGAAAAGGAGCAGGTGGGCTGGCAGAAAAGGAGAGGCCATGCTTTTAGGACAATAGCCCCTCGTCCTGAAGAGAGGAAGGGAGGGGGAAGCATCAGGAGAGGAGCACAAGGATGAGGCCCAGCAGACATTGGGCTTATCTGGGAGAAGAGGGACCCCTGGGACAAGAAGGCCCTTGCTAGTCTCAGCCAGGAGCCTGGATTACCCAGCACTATCCTTCTGTACCCAGCACTTAGCTGGGCCAGCAGCCCCTCTGGGGTGGGGCAGGAACATTTTACTGTAAAAAATGGGATCACTGACAATATTTGGGACTTTTAAATAACTATCTTCATTTTAAATTCATGTAAATTTGGACATACCTTCCCCCTACCTCCCATGTTCCCGTAATGGAAGAAAGACATCGGGAAACCTTTGGGCTAGAAGGACCTTGGAAGTTGTCTGGCTGTTCCCAGGAGGTCAGAGCCCATCACCAACCTGGGCCCAGAGTCAGGAGTTGAGGAGCCCATCTTCCAAGGAACTTCAGGACCAGTAAGAGAAAACCCAGCTGTTTTGAGTGGTCTTTTGGGGGTGCTGGTGAGGTTTCATTTTAAAACAACAAAGTTTGCCAGTGTTAATCCTTTTTTTTGCAAATACCTCTTCCCACACTCTTTGAGATGTAAAGGTGGGTGAAGGCTCTTCTAGATTATGTCATATGTGTTTGAAAATGCCAAAATAATAATGGTGATAATAATAATAGGAAACTTTTGCATTTGTCTGGTGCTTCATAGATTTCAAAGCACTTCACAGCCTTTAACTTACTGGCCCTAAGAGGAGAGAAACAGGGTCATTTAAAACACCCATTTGAAAAATAAGAAAACGGGCTCTAGAAGGAAAGGAAATGGGCCCAAAGTGAGCTGAATGCTGGGATCTTGACAGACCTCCTGGCCCCTGCTGCCTCCAGGTGGGCTGGGTGGAACAGAAAGGAGGAAAGAAAGGAAAGGCCCTAGGGATGACCTTGTAACTTCTATTCTTCCTACACCAGTAGGTAAAAACTGGCATCTGTACCTCACAGCTTTCAAAGCAGTTTAACATACATCATGTGGCTTAACCCTGAGAAATGGAGATTATTCCTACCATTTGATCCACAAGGAAAGCCAAGGCTCAGAAAAGTGAAGTGACTTGCTAAGAAAGCGACAGAGCCACTTGTATCCTGGGCTCTCAGCTGTCTTTCCCTCCAGCCTGACCCTCACACAGGCTCATCTACTGAAGCATCCACACCTTGTCTTAGCCCCTAGTTGCATATGTCCTTCAAGATCAAAGGGAAGCCCCAAGGTGGAGGTAAGGCATTGAGAGGCTGTGGTCTGCAGGAATCAGGTCTAGGACACTTTTTCAGTGAGAGCACTGGAGCCCCAATTCAACCTGCCTCAACCTCTTGTTCTGGTGGAGATCCACAAGCCCAGCCAAGCTTGGGGAGTCACTACAAAGGACTGAGCCCAGGAGAGCAGGGCAATGTGTGTCCTGGCAGGTCACAGGAAGAAGATTCTGTTGGTACCATCCAAAGATTCTGAATGTCCCAGTGATCAAGCTGGACAGAAGGTCAGCTGGAAAGACCATGTCATATTAGGAGGTGGGCAAGTCAGAGAGGACAAAGGACATGCCCACATGACCTAGCTGCAGCACTAGCCACTACAAACATCTCTCCTTCCCATGCCACTGTCTCTCCCCAGATCAACACCTTGGTGGCTAGGGCTAGCGGTAAAAGTGGTTCCATTTACCTCTTGGCTTGGCTTTCCCTACTACTACCTGACTCTTATCTTCACCAGCCTGGGGCCCAGAAGTTTGGAAGCTGGATTGCCTCCAAGTAGTGAAAGCCTGAAGCATAATCTTTTGTCACACTTAAAAAAAAAAAAAAAAGAAAAAGAAAAAGAAACTCCCATGGGATGGAGCAGTTGCTATTCCTTCTCATTCTCCTGGCAACAACCCTGATGTGCATCTCCCCTCCCCTGAATATGCAACGAGGCCACATGTACCTGTCCAGAGCTTTATTGGTATGCAAAGTACTTGGACATTGATTGCCAAAATTTATAGATGAAAAAACTAATGCTCAGAGAGTTAAGAGACTTGACAACACACATAAGTGAAAGAGCCATGATTTGAACTCCTAAATGCTCTATTCTTTCTGTTGCCACATGATAGGTCTCTGAGTGGCAAGCTTGAAGAAGGGAAGGGCTACCTCTCTGCCCCACACAGAAGGAGAATTTAGGGAAACCTGAGAAGCTCAGTTCTCTCAGTTGAGCAGATTTTTAAGAACTTCTGCTTTGGTTTGGACCTGTGATGTGCTCTGGAGACCCAGAGGCATATCCAGCTGTTAGCACAGAAAGCATGAGAATTTGCAACAAAGGCCTAGCTTGAACACAACACTTGAGGGCACAGTGCCCAGTATTGAAGAATGTTCAAGGGCAGCACCAGGCACTCTTCTCTTGAAAGACCCAGGCATCTTTATCTTTTGGATACCTAGTACTCTGGCTTTCTGATTGAGGGCCTACCTGCTGTCTAGATCCAGTAAGTTGGCATTTTAGATGGACCTGGCATAATGGGGTCCCTAGCCTTGCTTTTTCATGAAAGACACTGAATTAAGTAAGCTCCATACCTCCTCATTCTTCAGGCCACCCAGATTGTTCCAGATTTGAGCTATCCTCCCAGATATCTGAGGTTGCTTCCTTGAAGGGCTTGCTTTGTTCTGAATGGGCTTCAGAAATGAATCATGTGGAGCATAAAAGTAAGACAAGCCCCTTTGTCTGCAAGTTTTGACATCCTCATTGTGCAGACAGGACATAGCTAGTGAGGCATTAGCTGAACCAGGTCTGGGCCCTTGCATATCAAATCCCTGGGTCTGCTTTATGGAGGGAGGAGACAGGCCCCACCCACTCTGGGCCCTGGCTTGAATCATTCATCAGCATGGTGGGACCCTTCAAATGCAAGAGTATGCGTATGTGAAAGCTTTTTTTTTCCATTCTTTAATACTACCACTTAGCTACATGATGTGTGGGCCCCAGCTTGTTGTCAAATGGAAATTCAGAGAGGGGCAGCTGGGTAGTAGAGTGGGAAAGGGGAAAGAAGGCTCCTTGCTGGTGTCCAGGCCCTACCCACCTGTGAAAGGCAGTTCACTGGAGGAATTCCAGGTAGGCTGAGGGGGCAGATCCCACACCTGAGCCTCAACACACTCAGGCTTCTGTGGGTATGCCAAATTGGCTGCAGGGCTTGTCCTTTACCCATCGTGTCCCCCCTTTTAGAAAGCTCCTTTGAAATTCAGCATTATGTTGTTCCAAGACCCAGCCTTCAAAAGTCCTGGCAGGCTAGCTTCAACATTCCATGGTCGGCCAGGTCTTTAGCTCAGTGGTGCCACCGCCTGCCTCGCAAGTGGAACGTCCCGAGTTTGATCCCCGGTACCAACATTCCATGGTCACCTTTGCCTGAACCAGGGTAGGTCCCACTTCCTCAACTTCGCCAGTGAGTATTTCCTGTCATGCATGCTCTTGAGTCCAGCCCAGAGGCCAATTTAAGAACACAGTTGAGACTGTCACTAAGCCAGAGAAGGACATAACAACACCTGCTTCCTGTGGCTGCCTGGCTACTAGGTATCCTTGCTGTGGAGTGAGTTTCTACCCATTCCAGCCCTGGTAGAAGGAGGATATTCCTTCCTGAAGAGAACAGATGTAAGCACGTTGCAGATAAGTACCAGCCCATGGGAATCAGGTGAAATCAGCTTTGGGCCTGACCCCAGCAGGACCAGCATCCTTCAGGCTCCTGTCTTCCTCCTGATGCATGAGTTAGGAAGAGTTGAATGGGTCAGTCCAATTATCTAGATCGGTATTGTAACTCAAATTCCCCCTTAGCCAGGGGGAGGTAAGGTTAGGTCTCCAGTATCTTGGAGTTGTCTGTGATGATCTTCATAGGCCGGGGTGTTTCCCCTTCCCGACTTCTGCATCCCTCTTTCATATCACATGACAGAAGCCTGTTCTCATGGCATGTAACATCCCTGTGAAGAAAGCGTTGTATATGATTTTGTATTTTTTAATTCATTTTAATCTACAGGTTGGAATCTAATTTTTAAATTTATTGGAACTCACATTTTAAAAAGAAATAAAAACATTTAAAATAATAATAATAATAATAAACCTTTGACCGGTGTCTTCCAAGTAGTTTGATCCAAGAATTTATAGGTGTTTTCAAAACACAACCTGGAGTGTAAAGATTGGAAAGCCCCATGGCCTCGCTTGTGTGTATGAAGTGTAAACCTGGTTTTGTTTTGTTGTTTTGGATTCTTTTGGGTTTTGTTTTGTTTTGAAGATCAGATAGTGATCACTATGAAAGACTGAAGCCAAGAGTTTGTAACTATGATATTTACTGTAAGCTGTAGAACATTCAATAACTATTAAAAAAGTTTCCAAAAAAAAAGCCCTAGGTGACCAGACTGAGTGGTTCTTGTGGGGAGGGAGGCTCAGAAAGACTCCTCTTGGGCCAGGCAGTCCCCGGGGTTCTTGCCACGTTGATTCTAAGCTTGTTTCGAACTGCTGAGAAATTCCTGTGCTCTATCTCACAGTAGGCACAGTGACTTGCCTATCAAGCGGCAGCTTTAGCACGTGGTCCGAGTTGTGTGATGGGAGGCCCTGAAGGGCTGACACCTGTGGCGTGTAGCTCAGTGGCAAAGTATGCTTAGCATGTTCGAGGCACTGGGTTCAATCCCAGCATCAAAACAAACCAACGAAAGAGAAATTTTAAAAAGCACCGGGGATTTAGCTCAATGGTTTCGCCGCCTGCTGCACAAGCGCAAGGACCCGAGTTCGATCTCCAGTACCAAAAAAAAAAAAAGAAATAAATAAAACAAGATCCTGCCATCTATTGAAAGCCACTTGGTTGTGCTTGTTAACCCTTATTCTTGTAACTCGCTTTTAGCTAAGACCTGTCAGCCCCATCTTAAGATGGGGGAGCCAAGGAGGGTGAGAACCTTGGCCAGGTTACAAAGCTGGTGGGCAGAGATGGAACTCATACTTGGTCTGGCTCCAGAACCCTGGCATATTAAGGCCCATGTTCTTCCCCACCAAGGAGGGACTTTCTTAAAGCGTGGATTTTTCAAAGCGTTTGCCAGGGCTGAAATGGATAGAAATTCCACAGCAAGGATACCTAATGGCAATGCAACCACAGGAAGCAGGTGCTCTTATGTCCTCTGGCTTAGTGACAGCCAGTCCCTTTGGCCATGGGGAATTGGTGGTTTGTAGTTACAAGAAGAGGACAGTAGAAACCACAGGGCCTCATACGAGCAGTCATCAAGTGCTGTCAGTTTTACCTCCTAAACATCTGAATCTTTTGCATCCCCTCCGAGTGGCACCCTTGTCCAGGCTTCTCTCTCTGGGTCTGTCCAGCTTTCCTTCCCAGGGCCTGGCCCCACACTTCACGTTCCACATGCCCACACCACGGCTCCTGGAATTCAGCATACTCAGCTGGTCCACTCTGCAGGTAGGCTGGCTCCGGAAACCTCGACACCTCAGTTCCATCAAGGGTCACTCTCTTATTGGCTCTTCAGCTCTTCCATAGGAGGGCCAATAGCACTTACAGGTGTCATGCTCTTCCATCTTTAGACAACACACCAAACACCAAAGAAGCTTTGACTTAATTAAAAACCATCTCTCTCAGAACCTAAGGCCCCATCAGCCATGGCCTGGCACAACCAGGGTTCTGCACAGGCCTGTCTCCCTCAAGCCACTTAGACCTGGCCCTGTCCTCACTGCTCCCGGGAGATGGCCCCAAGTCCGTCTCTACCACAGCACACAGTAGTCCTGGCCCCACTGCAGCACCTGATCTTGCAACATCCTCTGCCTTCAGGACCCAACCCTCTCCTGGTTTTCTTCAGGGGGGCCTCGCTGTTAATGCTTTATCTAAGTGGGATCTGCCCTAGGCCTTTCCCTGAGATGTATTCCCTCTTGCCCAGTCCTGACATAAATGCCCACCCGAGTGCTGGTGGGTATTCTCATCACTACTTATGTCTGCTTACAGTTCCTGGCTTTCACACCCAGATGCCTCAGAACATCACCAGGGCTGTCAAAGTGTCCCTAGGACTGCTCCTGCTGGTTACCCCACCCAGGTGGCCCTTGCCTCATATCTGGTAAAGAAGCCCAACCCCTAGAGTTCCCTAGCAAGTCTGTCCAAAGAACCTCTTAGATCTGTTTCTTGCCACCAGCTTCCTCAAGGTGCCCAGCTTCATAGCTCCTGCACTGCAGTGGCCAGGAGGGAGCTGATGGGTCAGGCTCTTCCCTTCCTAACCACTGCGGAGGTTCCTGGACACAAAGCCCACATCACCACCCTTGGCTTGGCCTTTGCATATGCTGTTCCCTCTCCATGGAACATATCCCCCCTTCCCATGCTCTCCAACCCTGAGTCTCCCTCACTTCCACTCCTCCCAGGTTCAATGCCATTGCTTCCTCTAGAGCAAGATGTGTCCATCACGACAGCCATTTGCACCTCTTAAGCCCTTGATATATGCTAGATCATGCATAAAATACAGCTGGGTGTGGTGCCATTGCCTGTAATCTCAGCACTTGGGAGGCTGAGGCAGGACGATTACTGAGTTTGAGGGCTGCCTGAGCTACATAGTTCAAGACCAGCCTAAACTCTACAGGGAAACCTTGTCACAAGAAAAAGGGTACACAGCAGATTCTAAAGCCCCCCCCCGAAAAACTTCATTTGTAATTTTATGCTGATTTCGTATTACAGTGAAAGCATTTTAGATATACTGGGTTAAAACATACTAAAATTAAGTCCACCTGTTTATACTTCTTGGACTGTGACTAGAAAACTTTAAATCACCTGTGAGGTTGGTTCACAAGTCATATTCTTGGCCAGACCTGCCTCTCCAGACTTCAGTGGAAACCAGATGGGGAGAGGGGCCTCCCCTGGCCAGTGTCCCCCAGGCACTGGGGAGGAACAGTGTATGCAGCATCCAGCCGGGCAGAACAGGGCCCAGGTGGTACACGCTGACCAGACGGGGCTTGGGAAGGGGCACAGGAAAAAGAAGCTCCTCATGACACCATTTTCCCACCTTTTATTATTCAACAAGTGGATGGGGATGGAGATGCAAGGGCAGGACAACTGGAAGTTTAATAAATAAATGGGAGTGGGCAGTGGTCCGTGCCTGCACGGCCCCACATAAATAACCAGGTGGCTGAGGCAGAGTAGACAGACGGAGCTGGGCTGCAGTCCCCTACATTATCCAGGCTCTGGAGACACACTGCCACAGGGAAATGGAAACCACTGAGGCTAGAGGCACTCACCAGCCCTACCAGTGCTCTCCCGGAAGCTCTGGGGACCTTGGGGGAGCACGGCAGGCAGGGTTCTGCCACAGCCTAGCCCAAGTCAAGTCAGTTTTTCAGTTTCGTTAAAAACAGCAGGTGGGGGCAGGCACATGCATTCAGCCCCATCTGTAGGCAGAGCCATGGATGGACAGCCCCATGGGAGCCTTGAAGGCAGAAAGCAGCAAAAATGGGCCAGATAAAGCTACTAAGAGGAGGGGTGGCAGAGTCAAGCTCTCCCCCAGCAGGACCCAGCCCAGAACTTGCAAGGAGCCCTGGGTCCTGAGATGTTTTCTCCCCACTTCACAGTCAAGAAAACTGGGCTCAGTGATGGCCAGGGACATGCCCAGGATTAGAACCCAGGAACTCAGTCTCCTAGCCCAGGGCTTTTTGTTGTCCTTTCCCTTCACAGGACCTGCCGGAAGAGGAGGGAGGCACATCTGCTCTAGGGCCCTGGACACGGGCAGGGGTGGCCAGTCACCAAGTGGTGGTGCTAGGGCACCAGGTATGGGTGCCACCTTTCCACCAAGCCAAGACTCCTGGTGGTACAGTGGGCTCCTAGGATGTGGCCCGGGCAGGCACAGGGTTAGGGCATCCTGCAGGCGAGGGACTGGAGCAACAGGGACAGGGACAAGGCTCTTGATCTGCACACGGCACGCGACGACTGCCTGCCTCCTCACTGGGGTGGGCGGTCCCACCACCAGGCTGTGACCTTTGCTGTTGTGTCTACTGGGTCATTGCTTCTTGGTCCTCACAGTCCCAGCTGCAGCTCTGCCTCCTCCAGGAAGTCTTGGGGACCTCCCAGGGCAAGGCTGAGAGTCCTCAGACTAGACAGTCCCTCAGATGACCAGGTTGCTCTCACTGAGCCGGACCACATAGCGGTTCTCCTGGGAGACAGGGGTGAGCGACCACAGGGGAATCAAGAGGGCTTCTGGGCTCCAGGAAAGTGGCCCCTGCCCAGAGTCCCCTGCCCTCTGCCCTATTCTGCCTTCAGTCAGGTGCTAACAGGAACCTTTCCCAGACCTCACCTCGACCTTGTTCTCTGCTGGGGGCTTCAGCCACTTAGTGTGGTTTTCACCACTTCCCAGCAGTGCCCGCTGCTCAGGTAGGAGTCCAGGTTGTGGGGAGTCAGGGAGATCACCTACAGACAGCCCAGCCTCTGTGATGGTCTTCACTTCAGGTGCCACTAAACTTGTCCTCTGCTCAGGAATTCGAGCCACACGGAACCTAAGAGGGGAGGTGGTGCAACCATTCCCCATTAGAGGGGAACCTGAGGTACAGAGAGGGCAGCACCTGCCAGGGTCACAGAAGAAGTTCAGGGATGAAGTCTCAGCCCCCCACAGAGAAAGGCTTCACTCTGCTGTTTGTGCCCAGCCCCCAGCACCCCAACTCTAGGTTACACATGCACAGACCTTGGCCTGTGAGGCCCGAGGTGTGGTGGGGGCCAAGACTCTGCATCCTGGGGACCCAAGAGCTCCAAGTGAGACAGCACAGCTCGGAAGTCCTGACTTTCCTCTGGCCACCCACTCTGCCCAGAGGCCCAGAAAGAGCATGGCCACCACGGAACAAGGGGCTCAGGGCTGGACATGAGCCAGCACATTTCCTGTGACACTGCTGCACCGGTGTCTACCTCACCTGCCCACAGACAAGATGGTGATCTCGCCCTGACGTCCTGCCTTGGCCCCGGCCTTGGGAGCTCTGGCCAGGTTAGGCAGGAGGCTGGGAGCTGGAGTGGAGGCAGCCGCAGCCTCAGGGGACAGCAGCACTTCAGGCCACTTCTTCTGGCTACATCGGGAACAACAGGGGCCAGAAAGTGAGGCCAGGCCCTGCACAGTGTGGAGGTGGTGGCGATGTGGGCAGATGTGTGGCACACTGGGGGAGGCCGGTGGCAGCCTGCAGGAAGGCACAGGGGCGCAGTCACTAGGGCAGGCCAGGTCCAGGAGACCAGCAGACAGAGGTGGGACAGAAGAGACTCCAGGGTGGGGAGCCCCCGGAGGGAAGCTATGGGCTGAGGACCTTCCCCCTCTCACCTGGGCACAGGCTTGTGGCTCGTCTGCACCAGCTGTTTGCTGTGGTATTCTTTCAGCAGCTCCTCCAAGGCTGCCGCATTCTCTGTGGGCAGCTGTGGTCAGATCCCTGCTCTGACATGATGGGAGCCCACCACCCTGCCCCAGGAGAGAACCCCTCACCTACCCACCCCGTCCCCAGCCTGGGCTGTGAGCCTTTTCCTCTGCCCCAAATCCAGCAAGCCCAGACACCTGGGGTGGCACATAGGTCAGAGCACCAGGCCAGCCTGAGGTCCCAGTGCAGGAAGGGCAGAGTAGGGTGACCTGCCTGTTCACAGGCTCTGAGAGGAGACCTTCCGCTCTTGGGCACTGGGATGGGTCAGACCCTCCTCTCACCCTTCTTCTCTGTGATCAGGCGCACCAGGACGCCGATAGTGTCCTCATTGGCGTCGTCAGTCCTGTAGGCAGGGTTGATCCCTGGGGAAAAGCAGAGGACCATGATCCTAGAGGAGAGGGTGGGAGGATTCTGGGCTCCCAAACTACACCAGAATTTGCCAGCAGAGGGCGCCCCAGGCCTTCCTCAGAGTAGGAGCCATGTGTGTTCAGGCAACAGATATGGCTCAGAGAAGCCCACTGGTCACCTTTACAGCCCACGTCACTCCTTACACAACAGCCCCCGATTCTTAGTGGTTTCAGGGGCATCTGAACCCCACAGTCCCTGAAGACTGTGGAGGCTAGAGACTGTCAGCCTCTTCTGGGATGGCCCCTTCTTGGTTTCAGGGAGAACTCCCAATGTCTACAACAAACTGCCCTTCCAGGACCATTACCTCCCTGCATACCACCCTGACCATGGAACTATTTAACTGAGGGCCATTGGTCAGCTTTGGGCCCAAACCTCAAGGGTGTGAGAATGGACCACTATAATTCCATTCTGAGCCCAGCAGGAGGCTCTCCCAGAACTTGACCCCAGGAAGCAGCCAACAGTTACAAAGTCTCTAGGCTAGGAAAACAAGTACTGTCCCAGGCAAAACAGCCCTGCACCACCTGCCTGCAGCTCCTGCCCCTTCCTACCCTCCTCCAGACTTCACCATCAGGAGTTGGAAGGGGCTCTGCCAGTCCCAGACAGCCTGGACGGCTGGCACTGGAGATGTCACTTCACCCTGGACTTGGCCAGAAAGATCCTATGGGCCTAGGGCAGCGTATATGTATGTGGGGTCCCAGCCCTTCTGGGGAAATTGGTCTGGTGGGGAAGACAGAGGCTTGGGTCCCTGGGGTAGGGGTGGAAGAACATTCCACTCCTCTGGTTCCAGGACTTGTAACTCAAACCCTAGCCTGGAGCTGCAACCTGAGCCCCTCAGGTTGCCAGCCTTCCTGCCGCAGGGCATTCCTCCAGTTTCAGGCCAGAGGTCAGAGATCCCTTCAGTACTTCAAAGGCCTTACAACCTTTGAATCACACATACAACTGTAGCCCCCAGGGAGTCCAGAAGTCACAGCTAGGCAGGGAAGGCCTTACCCGGGGTGGAAATTCCACCACCACCACTTAACCAGCTGTCCTGCCCCTGCTCTCTGTCCATGATCCCCCAGCTCAGCCCCTCCCCTCCCTCCCACTCTGTCAGTCTGTGGCTGTCTCCTCTAGGGCTCCTAGGTGGCAGCAGCACCTCCAGGGCACCTCTTGAGGAGTCCTCTGCAGGCCTCTCCAGTCAGACCCCAGCCAGGAGTTTCCCTCTGGCAGCCTCCATGCTGGCTTGGGGCCCAGCCAGTCCTCGCTCCCCACCCTCCCACCTGACACCAGGGCAGGCCTCACCGTTGCTTCCACTGCCGGGGGTGGGTCCAACCTCCTTGTGGGCCGTGCAGTGGTAGCCCTTCCGCTTGAGCAGGTTGCACACCAAGATGCCCAGCAGCCCCATGAGGCAGAAGACAGGCACAATGGCAATCACCGCGTACTGGGTAGCCGTCTCTTCGGGGCCACCTGCTCGTGTGCCGTTTCCAGGCTGCCTCGTCTCACTGCTGCTGGCACCACCACTTCCTGCCGCCACCTCCACACCACGTCGAGCCCGCCGCCCCCACTCTGAGCACCACAACGGACAGAGGCAAGACCAAGGCAGAGAGAAACGGACACTTACAGAGAGGCAGAGGCCCTGGGTCCCAGTTAGTGGAGGAGGTGTTAGGTAGAGGAAGAGGTGATGTGCCCTGGCGGCTCCCACTGGCCACCTCAGGAGACAAAGGCCAGCTCAGGGCCCTTCCTTTCCTTCTTTTTTGGCCACCGGATCAGTTATCATGACACCCTCAGGCTTTCATGAGGAATGCAAACACAGTAACAGGTGGCACATGCCCTGGCCTAGGGACATCCCGCAACCCCGTGGCCTGGTCCATGAACCAGCTGCTTCAGAGGCGAGGGGCTCAGCCTGAGAGCAGCTGTATGTATGTATGTATGTATGTATGTATGTATGTATGTATGTGTGTATGTGTGTCAGAGTGAGTGTGCACATGCTCCTATCCATCTGTAGAGTTCACATGGAGAGAACTGGTCAGGCTGTGAACTCCCAAACCCCTAACCATGGCTGCCACCTGCTGGATGGTCTCTGTCACTCAGAAACAAGGTGTTCCACTGACCGTAGCCTCAGGACACCCTCCTGCTGCCCACCCTTCTCCAGAGGATCCCACTGTCCCACATGAGCACTGTGGGGCTCCTGGGCTCAGCTCACTGGACCCCTCCCACACACTCCCAATCTGTTACTCACCATCACAGCCATGAATACTCAGAGGTGCCCAGGAACATGGTTGACATGGAACAGGGGGGACCCCCCCAGGCTCAAACCATCTGCAGGAAGGGAAGATGTCACTCAAGTCCAGAATTTTCTCCAAAAAACTGTCCTTAAGAGTCTGGATTCCTTCCTGCACCCTCAATGGTACTGCCTTGTCCCATTTCATGGATGGGAAGACTGAAGCCTGCTCAGTGTGGAATGAGGCTGGATCCAGGGCCCTTGCCTCCCATGCATGAGCCTCCCACCTCCCACTGCTGTGCTCACCCAGGCTGGCAGCCTCCACATAAAGTATCCTGAGTCGTGGTGCCTGCCTGGGCCTCCAACCGCTTTCGAAGGCTGCAGCGGTCATGGGGCTGACATGGGCTGGAGTCCCAGGAGGCTGAGAAGGTGCCCGGGGGGCAGGACCTGCATGGTGTGCCCTGGCCCGGGTCCTGAGGGAGAGAAAGGGTAAGAACAAGGCCAGGAGCCAGAGCAGAGGTCCCTGGGGAAGCCAGGCCTGGACTCCACCGCTGGCCCTCAGGAGTCTTCCCAGGTCAGGGCAGATGGGCAGCACAATGCTCACCAGCTCAGGCTCCTCCCCAGGTGGGCACTGCCAAAGAGTCGTTGATGTTGGAGTGGCCAGAGCCCAGGACAGCAGCTGAAACAGGCAGGAACATGTTGAGGGATAGAAAGTGTGGGCTGTAGGGGTCTTTGGGGTCATCTTTCCACTGTGTACTTCCTGAGGCCCTGAGTGTGGGGATCACTGACCACACAGGGCCACCTCTCTCCCCCTTTCAGGCTTCAGGGTCACTCTTCTAACCTCGATCTCTCACACTGCCAGGAAAATCTGCCCTGTCCCAAATATAACCAGTGCCTGGGTATGGTGAGAATCCTACCTGCTTCTAGAAAACTCTGGAAAGGACCAGACAAGGGATCAGGACCTCAAATCCCTGGGTCTCTGAGTTATACCCCTTTCAGCTGACCAAGCAGATGATGAGGAAATGCTTCCGAATTCTTCACTCAGATTTGTCCTCTTCATGCCACCCCCACCCGTCACAGCTGGCTATGTCATTAGCCAGCCTCTGTTTATCATCCCTGGAGCCAAGTCTACAGCTGGTACTTACTATTCTAAGCCCCGGGCTGCCGTCTCTGAGACCACATCCTCCTCTGACCATCCCCTGTGGGAAGGTTGTCCCATTCACACCCCCATACCCAAACTGAGTATGCCACATTGAAAAGGAAGGGTGTTCTCAATGGGTGCCTTCAGCCCTTTCCATGAGGAGCTCCCTCAGCTCTCTCTTTTGTTCCCCACTCAGTCCACATGTGTGAACTGTCTTCCCTGAACTCCTGCTATGGGGATCCCATCCTCTTATGGGACCCAAACTGGTTGGGGGGCACCAGTCACAGCACAGACCCAGCTGCCCTGGAGGTGAAACTGGGGATCTCCAAAGCTGACTCCCCAAACCTGCTAAAACTGAAAGGTCTCCTGCCCAAGGCCCACCCCTCCCTGGGGTTTAGCAGAAAGAAGATCCCAGACTAGACTCTAAAGCACCAGCCGAGGGTACAAGTCTGTAAGGTGCAGGTGGTCTGATTCTGACTCATGCCTGATCCTTAGTGCTGGCTGCAATCTAGGGTCCCTAGACCAATACAGATTTAACCCCAGCACTGAAATGCTCCACATCCCAAGCCTCTTTGGCTCAACTTCCTCCATGTCCCACCTTCTGGCTGGTCTCTGTCCCCAGACCTGCCTGCTGTCAGGCACCTTGCTGTCAACCATGGCCCCCTTGCCTAGAAATATCAGCAAGTCCTTCCTTCTGCCCTTTGCCTGGCCTGCGTGGGGATGAGCTGGGAAATCAGGGTCCCCCTCTCGGATACCATGGCCTTCCCACCTGGTTACCATCTCATGTTGGGGGGATGTGGAGGTACTTCCTAGGGTCCAGCAGTCTCATATTCTTCCCAGTGAGAGTTAAGAAGCCACACCTCACCCCAGCACCTGGTTCCTGAGCAGAATCCCTGGAGGGCTGGGTGTGGGGCTTTGGACAACTGGGTTCTTCTGGCTTCTCCCAGGCCACCCAAACTTACCAAAAAGAGGCAAGACAGAGGCCAGCACAGTGGGCTCAGCTTCATCATCAGGCCCCAGAGTGATCACTGGCCTAGGGCAGAAGATAGGGAGATTGAGGTAGGCAGTGGGGTCAGGCAGGCAGCTGCTGTGGCCCCAGGCCACCTTCAGCATGACAGGACTTGACAAAGAGTTTGCAAGGTGCTGCTGGGCAGGCAGAGCATGGGGGTATGGGGTGGCTCACCCTACCTCCTTCAGATGCAAGCCAGGGGCTGCATGTCTGGGGTCAGCTCACAGGACAGACCAGGATGGCAGGGCAGCCAGAGGGCTCTGCAGGATGCGGAGGGTTCCCGGAGGAGGAAGGACTTCCTTCCCCTCCCATAAACAGCCAGGTGCCCTGCAGCATCAGCAAGGGAGCTTGGAGGGAGGAAGGAAGTGTGGGGAGGTCCGGGGCCAGGCTGAGAGGATTACAGCACCCTAGCCCTCACCTCTCTGCTCCCTCTGCAGCTCTCAGGCTCCTGCCAGCCAGGACTCTCACAGGTCTGCAAGCTTGCTGCCTCTCCTGCTCCTCCACCTTCACTCTTGCTGGTTCTGCACAAGGAAGGCCCTTGCGCATCCCCACCCCCACAGCCCAACACAAGGCCTCTTTCTGGAAGCTTTTCTAGCTTTCCCAAAAGCTGAATCAAAGCTGAACCGGGTTCCTACAGCTTCTATCCCATCCTCCCTCCCCACTCCCTCCCACTCCATCACAGGCCTGGTCCTTCCATGGCCTGGTCCCCCAGGGTTGGGGGGACATGTCCACTTGCATCCCTGCCTGCCTGGTGCCACGGCAGACCTGCAGGAAGGCGGTAGCCATGGCAGCCAGAGTCCTGCCTCCACTCGCCTCTCCAGTACCTCCTATGTTCCTACATCCCTTGGTACTAGGCACCAGGCATGAACAAAACAGACGAGGGCCCTGTTCTCAGGGAGCATCATCCTAGGGAACACAAATGGCAGATTAAGAGAGGTGGGAAGCAGGCCGGGGATTTAGCTCAGTGGTTCCGGCACCTGCCTCACAAGCACAAGATCCTGAGTTTGATCCCCTGTACCCAAAAGAGAGAGAGAGAGAGAGAGAGAGAGAGAGAGAGAGAGAGAGAGAGAGAGA